AGAGGGTCTGATACGGCTCCTTCTGGAACAGAAAACCGCTTTGTCATTGTGTGTGAACATGCACAGACCACATGAACCTAATGAGCAATGCCTGGAGCAAAGAGCTGTCGTGCTGCTCCGCTGTTTTCATGAGGAAACATTGAAAGTAGGCTAACTTAATATTTACACAAAAGCGGCACACTGGGATTTTATTTCTATATTAGCAGACAAAAACACTGGCGATTAATTTACACAAACAACTAGATTTTAATAATGCTTGCCCATGTTGAACTCACTGTTATGATTGCGAACACTGCTAAAGGTGTTCTGAGAAATTTAGCATGTTGCTAGATGGTTTCTAGAACTGCGTCTCAAATGACGTACTATACACTATGCACTTACGCACTATGTACTTATGCACTATGTACTCAACCATGTAGTGTATGAAGGTTATTTTGTCATTAATAATCTGAGTCTGATAGCCCACCCACCTTCGCAAGGTAATTAATGCTGCGACAGTTGAGTGCATAAAGTATCCAACATTCCACGCTTCGTTTTTTCGGTTATCTAAGTGCATCATCCGGGTATTTAAAGTGCACTTTTTCTTTTTGGATTTTTCCGTGTGAATGCACTACTCCTACTACTACTATTTATCCTACAAAACATCATAGAATAGTGCATAAGTACACGATTTGGGGCACACCTTTATAATGTTGCTAATGTGTAGCCAGTGCTGGGTAGATTACTTACAAATTGTAGTCCATTACTGATTCCAAATAATGTTATGAAAATTGTAGTAACGCAATCCATGACATTACATGTTTTAGGTAATATAATTAGACTACTTTTGATTATATTATGAGGTTGTTAAAGTGTTCTGAAAAGTGTTTTGTAGGTTGCTATGGTTTCTAGATGTAAACATTTGCTAATGTGTTGCTGTGATGTTGCTATGGTGTTCTAAAGGGTTTTTAGCATGTTGTTAGGTGGTTTCTAGCATAGACATGTATAGATACCCTATTCGACGTTGATTCATCCGCCATTTTGGAATGGTCAACTGGACGTCATTCACCATAATAATCAATGAATATTCAAAGATATACATGCGTATAACTTGCTGTTGTAGACACACAGTTTCAACTTGCGCTCGAGGGTTCGCAGCCCATAGAAACAGTCTCTAATGAGGCATCTACGTATATATATTTATGGTTTCTAGGCTAATGTGTTGCTATGATGTTGCTATGGTGTTCTAAAAGGTTTTTAGCATGTTGTTAGGTGGTTTCTAGCATAGACATGTATAGATACCCTATTCGACGTTGATTCATCCGCCATTTTGGAATGGTCAACTGGACGTCATTCACCATAATAATCAATGAATATTCAAAGATATACATGCGTATAACTTGCTGTTGTAGACACACAGTTTCAACTTGCGCTCGAGGGTTCGCAGCCCATAGAAACAGTCTCTAATGAGGCATCTACGTATATATATTTATGGTTTCTAGGCTAATGTGTTGCTATGATGTTGCTATGGTGTTCTAAAAGGTTTTTAGCATGTTGTTAGGTGGTTTCTAGCATAGACATGTATAGATGCCCTATTCGATGTTGATTCATCCGCCATTTTGGAATGGTCAACTGGACGTCATTCACCATAATAATCAATGAATATTCAAAGATATACATGCGTATAACTTGCTGTTGTAGACACACAGTTTCAACTTGCACTCGAGGGTTCGCAGCCCATAGAAACAGTCTCTAATGAGGCATCTACGTATATATATTTATGGTTTCTAGGCTATGTGGTTGCTAAGGTGTTCTAGGTGATTGCTAGGTGGTTTCTCAAATTTTTCTGGTTTCTACTGTAGACACTGCTTGGTTTTATTGTCCACTAGATGTAGGCTAAGTCTCATCGATTATAAAAATGACAGCGCGTTTCCTCAAATATAAGCTTTAACAATAATGATGATACAAATTTTAGACCTATTTATGCTTTGCACATCCTTTTACATTTTTGGTCGATGTTCAAAAAGTGTCAGGCCTTGATTTCAGTGAGGGGCATTGTTTTACTTTGAAATTGTTGAAAATATGCCAGTTTAATCATTTAAATCTCTTTTTTTTCTGTTTAGATAAGTGTCTGTGTGCATTTCCTGTTTTTTAGTTGTATAAACTGTGGGCTAAAAGACAATACCTGAGGTGAAGATAGAAACCTGACTTGTAGAGCGTGACTGAAGACACCATTACAGGCACGTCCGCAAAACACACACTCCCCCCCACACACACACACAATGAGCAAGCTATTAGAAAGCAGGGAAATCATATGTGGGGAAAACAGGCCTGAGGCGCATCCTATCTGCTTACCTAAACTGACAGATTACTCCTATAGCTGTGTGCGTTGTAGCTTACAGATGTAGCTTGGACAGCATGAGGTTTAATTTAACATGTTCAGCCTCATTATATCTGATGTGGTGTGAATTAAACTCTGACTCATAACCCGTCCTGTGCTGCAAACTGATGAATGATACCTCAAATTAGTCTGTTTGTTGAAGAAAGATGGTTTATTATTTTTCTAAGTGATCAAATTATGCTTTTTGCCTGGCAGACAATAAAAACGCCTGGACCTGGACCACTCGGAACATCCTACCATGTGGCAACAAGGCAAGAACTACTCACATTTTCTAAAAAATAAAATAAAATAAAAAAATTAATAATTTGTATTTATTACAAATGTATTATTATTATTATTATTATTATTATTATTATTATAAAGGTATATAAAGGTATATAAAATACTCAATTTAATTAAATAGAAAAAATTATATACTTGAAACATAATTAAATAGTTATTTCTTTTAATTTAATTATTTTTTTATTTTTATGCATTTGTTTAAGTACCTGTGTGTGTGTGTGTGTGTGTGTGAACATCTTCATAAGTATGTATATTAAAATACATAAAAAACATAAAATATAAACAAATTAAATAGAAATAATAATTACATATTTACATAAGATATTATTTATTTCTTTTGAATTTATTGTTATATATTTGTGTTTGTCTATATACATACAGTATCTCACAGAAGTGAGTACACCCCTCACATTTTTGTAAATATTTTATTATATCTTTTCATGTGACGACACTGAAGAAATTACACTTTGCTACAATGTAAAGTAGTGAGTGTACAGCTTGTATAACAGTGTAAATTTGCTGTCCCCTCAAAATAACTCAACACACACCCATTAATGTCTAAACCGCTGGCCAAAAAAGTGAGTACACCCCTAAGTGAAAACGTCCAAATTGGGCCCAATTAGCCATTTTCTCTCCCCGGTGTCATGTGACTCATTAGTGTTACAAGGTCTCAGGTGTGAATGGGGAGCAGGTGTGTTAAATTTAGTGTTATCGCTCTCACTCTCTCATACTGGTCACTGGAAGTACAACATGGCACCTCATGGCAAAGAACTCTCTGAGGATCTGAAAAAAAGAATTGTTGCTCTACATAAAGATGGGTGTATACTCACTTCTGTGAGATACTGTACATATTTATTATTATCATTAAATTAATACAAATATATTCAAATTAAATAATATGATAATAATAAAACATTGTTGTTGTTTCCTTCTTTTTAATTGATTTCATTTTATGTATTTATGTATTTATTATTATTATTATTATTATTATTATTATTATTATTATATACTGAAATGAACCAGAGATGAGCTTGGAAATATATTTAGAAATTTTTATGAGAGTATCTTGGCCAGCTGTTACCTGTTTGTATATTTTTCATAATTTTATCTTTAGAACAATTTACTGACTTGACGACAAAAATGTTAATTTGTTCCAAATTACTGATTTTATTTTGTAAAGTTCACATGTGACCATAAACTATTCAAAATCTTGCCATATGAGGAATGTTTGCAGAAATTGTTTGTGTTACTGAATCTTTCCACTAACAGTCACTCACATGTCATTGCAGTCCTACGCAGCGAAATAGCAGATTTATATCTTCCTGAATAGTCTACGATTTAATACCCATTTCAGCATCAGGGGGAAAAACATAGTGCCAAAAAGCATTTGAGCATTTGATCACTTGAGCTTCACAAAAAAATATTTAAATGTCATTGCTTTAGATAATAAAATTTGCAAAGAAATCCAGCTAGAGTTTTCACAGAATTAAAATCACTGCTTCGAGCCATTTTTGCAAGTACTTGTAATCAACTAGTCCCAAGGTGATTTTAGGGAATGTATGAAGTCAGTTCCCCTGAAGTTCACACAGGTGTAGTTCATCACATTAGCTATGAACGTCATCCAGAGCGTTTCACAACCAGGAAGTGTCACTATACTGTTTGTCTTCATTTTGAACAGTATATATATATAGTGTATAATCATAAACACACTATAAACAAACGCTTTGCTTGAAAGGTATTCTTGTACTGTCTTTTAAAAAATATCATTTGTTTTGAAATTTTGTTATATAATGCTATGACATTCAGACATTTTAGGTGTGGCTTAAGTGTGCAAACACTTATAGGCCTATAACAATAGTAACAGTAACTACAATAACTATGGATAAACACATATCAAAAGCAATCAATCATGGCTGTTTTTATGCGATTACAGTAAATGACCACTAATTATGTTAGTAATATTCCAATAAATGTTTTATTTTGTCTGGATTTTGTATTTTATAATACACATTTTCTACACTAATGCAAGTTTGAACATATTTTTACAGAAATCTCAAATAAATGTATGTAAAATAATAATAACAACTTTATTGACCGAACAACGTTGCAAGTGTACCAAGTGCAGCCGAGTGAGGGTGCAATGCTTCTTTTCTCCAGTCCACCTTAAGAACGCCCCTGTATTTATGATTTCCTGAAAACTTTTCCAACCAATCACAAAGCGTCCAGCTTACCTGCCTAGCGCTCTGGCGCTTATGATTGGTCGACGCTCAGAACTCTCAGCCAGTCCGCTGCCTGCAAGCGCTGTTTGGAGCCACTAGAGAATGACAGGTCGAAAAAAACAAAAAAGGAAGGAAAATTTGCTCAGATCACGCCATTGCCATTCGCCGTGGAGGATGAAAACTTTAGGAAACTTTTCGTCTTCATTTTAAGCCGCTTTCGGTCTAAAGAACCGACGCCGACAGAAATTACATCTGAACTGGACATATTCTCCTCTTGTTTGTGTATATGTGAGAGGATTTACCTGAATAACGCACACTTTCATCGACATTTGAAGGAAACCGAGGGGATTTTAGACGCTAGTCATATTTTAAACACTTCCCAGAGACACCAGACAACCATGTCTGGGGGTATCGGTATATATGCGGTCAAGAAACGGAAGAAGCCCGTTCAGAAAATGTAAGTTTTTGTGGGAATTCTCACGTTCAAGTTCAAACCGCGCACGCGCCTCGCGCAGCAAGGTTATTTATACAATGTAACAAAATTTCGAACGGCTATGTAATGTTTCACTATAACATTCTGACAATTGAATGGAGCGCGTTTTATTCAGCAAATGGTACATAGTGTCATTTGCTGTACAGAACGACAGAACGTGCTAAACTGTGTTTGAAGGTAACTGTACATTACTATATATATATATGTGTGTGCGTGCGTGCGTGTGTGTGTGAGAGAGAAATTGGAATTGCCTACGTTTTCATATAGAAAAGGCTAAATGAAACGCTGCACACAATACATAATTAGGCTTATGAACTAATGTTTTGGTCTGCAAAATGTCTCCCTGAGGTGATTTTTGACTTTCCCTTGAATCTCGGGAAAGTTTCATTTACTGTAATAACAAACTAAAATGTAACATTTAAGTGTAATTTCTGAGATGTAAAATCAAAGTGTTGTGCCAAAGTCCAGTTTGTTTTCTGCCACTTTGAATTGAACTGAAGACATTTGAGTCACAGAACTGAGCAAAAGTGACAATTATTGCAAAAAGTTTAATAGCTGGAAACAAAGTTGCTGTGTAATGATGAAAACATTGTGTTTGTTGCATCACAAACAAAAGAAAGTCTGAATTTGACCCAGAGCTGTATCCGTCGGGACACCTTAAGATCCAGGCATGGTGTGTCTAGTTCTGGGTCTGGCATGGAAATAGTACTCTTGTATTAATCATAATCAAGTTGAGAGTTGGCGGCGCTCTCACGCGATGCTTACACGAGGGAGGGGTGAGCCGGGGGGAGTATGTTATTGCAATCTGATATAGTCTTTTTTCACATCATGAGAACACAGGGTTTTTGTTTGTTTTTTTTGTTTTTTTTACTTTTTGCTTTTTTTTCGCTCGTTCCCCCCTCCTCAAATTAACATATTTTTTAAGTCACGCAAACTCTTACGCAACTGTGGTGGAACTGGCTGAAAAGCCAAAGCACGCCTCTGAGTTGATGTAGGAGCTTGCTGATGCTCTACTTTCATGATTTTGCAGATAGTTTGGTTGGGGAAAAAATGCAGTTGTCTTGAAGAGAATGACTTTATGGGAGCAGGAATATGCTTAATGCATCTGATTTAGTTCTGTGCATAACGTCTGTTGCACCGAAACATGGATTTGTGTCACTTCTTGAACAATAACTTTGCTTTTCTTTATCTAGAGCTTTCTCACTTTACATTTACAGTGTTCATGTTACACATATTGCATGCAAATATAATGGATCATAATAGTAGGGATGCTAACAAAGCAGATCCACACTAGTTTCTTTTTAAGAACACTGTAAAAGAAGTTTGTCAGGTGATCTTAATATTATCAGAGGGTCAAATCAAGCATATTATTAAATATTGGTAGTGATCAATGCTTTGTGTGTGTGTGTGGTGTGTGTGTGTGTTGGTCAGTGGCACTATTTAGACAGAAAGGTGGCAACTGCTTGATATAATGGCAATATACAATTAGATGTAGATAATTCATAAATTCACACTTTTTTGCTTAATTTGTTCTTCAGTATCAGGTTACCAATAAGTATATGCTGTTATTTTAATAGTCGCAGTTGCATATGTAAGAGAAAAACATAAAAATACATTTGTGTTTCCATTTCTATCGCACAACAAGTAGTAATATGTTTGTTGTTAGTTTTATTATTAAGGTATTGTGCTACATTTTATGATTAATAACATTATTATTATTATGTCAAAAATTACAAAAGCAGTATTAAAAATTGGTTCTCCATATCAATTTTCAGATGCAAACCTACAAATATTTTTTATTTATATATATTTTTTTATATTGCTCTTTTTAAAAATGGAAATCGGTCAATATAGCTATATACAATTAAATTTATTTTATTATTTTAATTAAAGTGTCTGGATTTTTATTGGTTTATTTAGATAGGTGCAGTACATTAAAAAAAAACATGATTTCAGCCAAAAAAAAAAAAAGCATTATACATAGAGAATATAGCATGTTAATGTGCATTCCAGGTCCTAGATCAGGTCAAAATGGCTCTTTAGTGTACCAACTGCGCTTTTTCACAGTATACTCAAGTAATCCTGCAATATGAACACTAATGTAAAGTGTGACTGTTTATTTCTCAGGCATTTTGTTTTAGGTTTAAATATTTATTACTGATTTATATCACTTAAGTTGATGGACAGGAGGGATATGTGTGATAATTTGATGTGTCTGCAAACTGTTCCGTAAGAGTGCAGTGGCGCAGAACTCCATACCTGTTGACAGCCCCGTCAGGCCCACCCACTGGGTAATGTGTATATTACGGCCGTCATTGGCGCAGGAGACGGACGACCTTTGCACGGTATGTCCACACTTCAGAATAGCTACTTACTGGAGCTTGAACTGCAGTGTGTGTTTTAGCATGCTGATAGACGTCCAAACGAGCCAGTAGGGTGGCGAAGCGCTGGAGCAGCCAAAGACCAACTGCACTTTTTCACAGTATACTCAAGTAATCCTGCAATATGAACACTAATGTAAAGTGTGACTGTTTATTTCTCAGGCATTTTGTTTTAGGTTTAAATATTTATTACTGATTTATATCACTTAAGTTGATGGACAGGAGGGATATGTGTGATAATTTGATGTGTCTGCAAACTGTTCCGTAAGAGTGCAGTGGCGCAGAACTCCATACCTGTTGACAGCCCCGTCAGGCCCACCCACTGGGTAATGTGTATATTACGGCCGTCATTGGCGCAGGAGACGGACGACCTTTGCACGGTATGTCCACACTTCAGAATAGCTACTTACTGGAGCTTGAACTGCAGTGTGTGTTTTAGCATGCTGATAGACGTCCAAACGAGCCAGTAGGGTGGCGAAGCGCTGGAGCAGCCAAAGACTGCGACTGACACAAAGAGGGTATTGAGAGGGAGTGTAACCAGACCCCTGGCTTCACACCGACGTAGCTGGAAGTTGGAATGCTGTAGAACCTCTCTCTCTCTCTAAAGAACCTTGTCAAGATTTCCTCACTTCTAACCTCACCCTTCTGCTGAAAACAGTTGGAACTTCAACTGGAAGTTTTCAGCATCTCAACGGCGGGTTGAAAAAGTCAGCATGAGTTTGAAATTGTCAGGAAAAGTAATGCAGCCTTGCTGAATGAAATCAATTTCTTAAAGGAAAACATTTCCGGACCTCAAGCTTTTGAACGGTAGTGTACAAATATTTCTCCTAACAGTTGAATATCAAAAACATACTTGCAAAAAATGAACTGGCTAACCTCACCCTCTTGCAGTTGGAACTTCAAATTGAAGTTTTCAGCGTCTCACTGTGGTTTGGGAAAAATCAGCATGACATTGAAATTGTTAGGAGGAGTAATACAGCAAATACTGACATCTAACAGATGCCTTAAAGGGTTAGTTCACCCAAAAATGAAAATTAGGCTGCGTTTTACTTTTGGGTGAACTAACCCTTTAAAATTAAAATAGATAGTTGTAAATATGCCAATGTTTATGGCAGTATATGCCAGTATGTAAGTTTCCTTCAAACTGCAAGGTGATTTGACCTAATTTTTAGTGTTACTGAGCAAATGGACCAACCTGAATCTACACTCCTAATAAAAAAGGTTCTTTATTGGCACAAAGAACCTTTCCACATTCCATAGTGGAAAAAGCTCTTTAGATTATTATTAAAATGTTCTTCACACTAAGAAAAATGGTTCTTTTAAGAACTGTTCATTGAAAGGTTCTTTGGGGAACCAAAAATGTCCCCCCCCCTTTTTTATTTTTAAGAGTGATTGGTGTAAACAGTTTTGTTGAGACTATTTAAAACAACAGTTGTTGAACCAAAATTAAAACTGTATGATGTTCGTTCTTCTGTGGAACCTAAAAAGAAAACATTTTGAAGAATGTTTAACTTTTTTTTGGCCGTACTATGAAAGTCATTGGGCTCTTAGTATGTTGTGTTGAACCCTGTTTGCTTTCATTGTATGGACAAGAAAAGGTGAAACATTCTTTAAAATATGACTTCCACCGCATAGCAAGAAACAGTTTTTAAAAACATCTTTTGTGTTCGACAGAAGAAAGATACTCATACAGGTGAGTAGACGGTAACTGATTGTTAATTTTTTAAGTGAATAATCCCAATCCCATCTGAAGTCAGTAGGGTTATTAGCTGTAATTGAAACTGTCTGTAGACTACATCATTATTTAAATACAGATTTGCTTGAATAAAGATCAACTGGTTTGCTTATTGCTCACATGACAGTCCTGCCTCCAGTTGTGATGTAAGGCAGTTTGCACCCTGACAAAGCGCCTTAGAAAAGGCATGTTTTCTGCGTTGTGCCTTTGAGATGGGTCTTTCTGGCGCAGGAGCTCGGGTACATTGATACTAGGCTTTGATGTGTGCTGAAAGAAATTTGGGTCAGCACCAGTGCAGAGTGTCCCTCCCTCACAGACTAGAGTTTCAGCCAGTCCGTCACTTCAAATACCCACAAATCTTGTCTCGATGAAGGTATGAGGAAAGCAGACACTTGATAATGATGCTGATGTGTCTCTGCTTGGTCAGATAAAATTTGCCGCAGTGACTCAAGTGTAGTGACAGAACTTGAATTTGTACCTGCTGACCTTAGGACCAGGCGGTATAGCTAGAAAAAGTTTTTATTTTAACAAATATGTAATTATTAAAGAAACCATTTCAATTTGCAATTTAAAATAAATGTTTACTATTTGATTATATTTTAAAATCTGTTAACGTTGAAATTATAGACACTATTAAAATATTAACATTCCCAATTGTGAAACACAGTATAGTATAATGACATGATCTTTAAGAAATGTACCGTAGTTGCCAAATATTATGAATAATTAATATATCTTGCAGCCCTAACTGACCTTCTGGGTCACAGTGTGATGCATTGAATGCATGCCATTGGAGCCAATTTTAGTTCTGTTCTCCCCCATCCCCACCTCCTCTCCCCCCCCCCAGCTTGGGTTTTTGATCCAAACCAGATGTGGCTGAGCTTCAGCTGAGGTTATCGGGTGGAAAGCAACCACTGTTGGCTGAATTCGCCCTTTTCTTTCTGATCTCAGAACTGTTTTCATGGAAAAAACTCAAAAGGAGTTTGGCAACTGGACTGAGGTAAAACCACTACCATCAAAAATTGACACGCTTGACTGACTTTTTCATGATCTTCAAAACCTTTTTAATAAATAAATAAATATATATTGATTATTTCTGAATTTATTATTACTATTATTACTAATTTATTTGTGTTTTAATTAGCCTATTTATGCATGCATGCATGCTGCTACATAATTCCCATGCTAAATTTCTGGTATTTTATAAAGACTATTATTATTCTGACATGTGTACAATACAGTAATAGTCCTAATGAAGAATGAAAAGTTGGTCCAAACTTTTGACTGGTGTATCGACACTTTCCATACTGTAACAAGGATGTGGAAAACCGAGACAGAGATTTGCAGGAATGTACCATGGGATTTGTAGTAAAAATTTTCTCAAGCTAGATTGCCAAATGCTTTCAGATTGTTCTTTCTCTGTGTCCTCAGTAAACCTTTCAAGCAACGCAACACATGGAGACACAAAAGCTGTTGTGCAACAGTGACTGCAAACGTTTTCAAACCGTCTTTCCAGTGGTAGAGTTTTCAGAACAAGTGCCAAATTTAAAAGGAAAGTGAGGGAAAAGAAAGAATCAGTTGTACAGTATGTATAGAAAAGAAGAAAAGGGAGAGCAAAAAACAGAGAAATGTGCATTAAAAGAATGTGACACAGCAAGAACAAAGAGATGCGTCTTCCGATGGTCCTCTGTGTATTCCAGGCAGCATGAGAAACCCTGTTGCATGTTGGGACCTGCAAGAGGAAAACAGTCATGATGTCATACCTCATGTGATTGTAACACTTGTACACTAAAGGACAGAAGAAAGAATGAGAGATTTCAGATGTTCCCTCTGTAGTGATGTCTTCAATACAATAAACTATATACTTTGCCAACCTCAGCGAGCACAGCAAATGTTGGGAGGTTCACATGATCAGAACTCCGATCACTGGATCAGATGTACTGTAATTCAGGAGGAATGTCGAAGCTCTATTTCCCGCGATAGGACTTTCCAAACAAATAATCATGGACGATAGACCAATAGAACAAAGCCACCATGTTGGTAATTGCAAATATTGTGAAGCTGAAAACAATTAAAAATTTCAGTAGGAAGTTATGGTTAGTTGGTCTGTTAGTAATGCTATGTAGCTACGCACAAGAGACTTCATTGTGAGGCCGGGCTTTTAATACTATTTGACCATCATGATGGACCCACAAAGAACTGTATGACCTTGCTTTATAGTCTTCATGTGTTTTTCATTTTGTTAAATTGTTTAAAAAGAGTACTCAAGAATATATTTAATTGCTCTGGAAATGTTGTCACTGGAATGAAGGCAACATTTACTTTAAAGGCAATATCGCGTTCATAATCGCAGATGAATCGCATTCGATTATGAACGCAATATTGCCTAGCTTGTCAGTGAACTACGGCTCTGTGTATTAAATGTCGCTCCATCTGAAAGCAGGTGATGGCAATTTACTACCAATCACGGAACCGGCTTTACTGATGAGATGCGCTTGACAATCGCATGCGATTAATTGCACAGCCCTATGTTATAGTAGATGTTTTTAAATATAAAAATTGCTATTTATGTACAAGGCAAATGTATGAATGTTGTTAGTATTATTAATATATGTTTTATTTTGTTTTGTCTTGTATTTTCATACCAATGTTTTTAAAAAATATATTTTTTCTTTTTTTATTATATTTTTATTCTTAGAAAAATTTAAATAACTTTTATATGGGCCTTTCAGGTCAAATGTACAAATTGTATTTATTTTGTATACAGTAAATGTCAATATTTATCAAAATATGCTAATATTTTAGTATATTTTTTGTTTATTATATTTATATTATTTTTCAAAACTTAAATATTTTATATGAGCTTTTAATTTGCAATAATATGTGTGAATTATATAGATATAATGTAACTCCTTACAGCACAATTGACAGCCAAATTAAAACCAAAACATTCCAAATAAATGATTGTCAATTTATATTAAAAATATGCATTTAAACATACTTTGTAATATATTGTCCATGGACAGTTAGCCCTGAAAAATAACCATTTGGAGATACAAAAAAAAAAAAAATCACCATCGAAGGCCGTTCAGATGAACGGAATCTCCTGAGAAATGAAATAGTAGGTGAATCAATGCTGCGCCAACAATGATGCGCTCCTTCGTGTCATTTTAGAGATCTGGAGCTCAGGGCCGAAGGGGAAGGAAGGGGCTGAACGCGCTCTTTTGTCCCTGCAGGCTCTTTTTTTCTGAGGTTAGTTATACTTTCTGGGAAAACATAATTAGTGTTCGGCTCAGATGGCTAGAGTTACCGCTCTTAGTCTTCTGGGCTGGCAGGCAATGAAAAGGCAGTACGAGGTTGAGTTACAGTCATAGTTTTGATGGCCGTGATTCCATTAAGAGTCTTCAAGCTTAGATAATGGATTTTATGTCAGAGATAGGGATGTAACGGTATGAAAATTTCACATCACAATTATAGTGACCAAAGTTATCACGATTATCAATATTATCACGGTTTTGTTAAAATTAGATGAAAATGTTCAAAAAGAACTGATACACAC